TCTCTCTCTCTCTCTCTCTCTCTCTCTCTCTCTCTCTCTCTCTCTCTCTCTCTCTCTCTCTCTCTCTCTCTCTCTCTCTAACCTTTACGCTCACCTTCCTTTCTGGTAAGTCTGTCCTGTCTTCATGAGTCAGCCCCCCTCCCCTGACCCTTCAGCAGCCTAATAAAGGTTGTGTGTTGGTGTTTGTCCCACCCCTACATGTTTGCCTCTGCGCTACTGTATTCCTTTAAATCCTCATTAATCTTACGCCACAGGAAGAGAAGAATGAAAGAAACATTTCCTGACTTTCTACTATTGAAGTTTGCCATTTCCTTTTTGCACACATAGCCAAACACGAATATATTGTTTTAAATTTTAGGAAGCGGGGGCTTTTTTTTAAACAATCGTGGGTGTAGGCCTCGGCCAAGGCCACTCCAGGTTCTCACTGTCCTGCTGTAAAAACAGGAATTTACGTTGTCCTTGTTCTTGTTTTTTATTCAAAACTTTTTTCATTTCTTTCAAACAAATCAATTCTATGTACAAATTAAAAAAACACAAATACAATGAAATGAAAGGAAGCAGAGAGAAGAAAAAAATCATATATCTGCCTCTTCTTTTCCTCAAATATAAACTCAAAAAATACTAATCTTCAATTAACACAAAACAAAACAAGAAAAAAATTAATTCCTTCTAGAACACAAATTTACATGAATACATATTATACTGTTTTATATTTCCTCAAAAGCCCCACTTTTGTAATTTTCTTGAACACATTGATCTAGCATTTTTAGCATCTTTTTCCAGATTATTCCACAATCTGACTCCTTGGATTGAGCTGCAGCGTTCTTTCAAACTGGGTCTAAATTTATGTTTCATGAACATTTCTATTCCCTTCAGGTTATAACAGCTCTCCCTCTTAATAAAGTTTATCTGGATGTTTAAAGGTCAGGTCTTTTGGTGAGCCTGATACATAACTAACAAAATGTTATAATCAACCAAATCAAAACATTTCAACAATTTAAATTTACAGAATAATATATTAGATGGATAATGGTAGTTTTTTCGAGTGATAACTCTTATAGCTCTTTTATGCAAAAACAAAAACAGGATGTGTAATAGTCTTACATGCTTTACCCC